AGATCTCAGGTTTTGGATCAAACTTTGTACAAAAATTATAAGAATTCTGGAAGGTTTCACCTAATTTGCAAACATTTTAATTAGAATCTAAAAAAAAATAATTTTAGCATAATAAAGTGCAACATGAAGTTTCTAAAAACTTCGTTGAGTTTTGGCAATTTTTTTCCTTGACAGTGTAAACCAGTTCCTTCCATATCAAGATATTTTTCGAACATATTTTGAAAGATTTCTGCAACCTTGCGAAGTGCTGCCAGCTTTTCCTTTTATCACATCATGATGTAGCGAACAAATGTGGCACGTTCCAGACCCCGCTACTTGGGATTTGCCGATTTTGACAATTCTCAAGTAAAAGTAAACAATGCTTTAGAATCTTTAGTTACACTGAAATTTGCTAATATTTTCACAAAAATCACCGTTTTTTAACATTTTTGCTATTAATTCTTTTTATAAATCATATATTTTGCAATTTAACACAATAAAACCACGTTTCCTGTAGATAAATTGAATATTGAGGAAATTTAGTATTTTACAGTTTATTTTATCCTCTCCCATTCCGCCTGTTGTTAGTGTTTAGTGTTGGACAATTTTTGCTCGTAAAATTAAGAAAATTATGTGGAGCAAAAATAAAACTTCTCAAAAACGCGAATATGTGGTAGATTGCAGACCTTGTGTGGTAGATGCTCAAAAAAGTGGCAGTCCTACCACAATGTGGTAGAAGTCCGATCACTGCCAAAAGGGAGTAGCAAATCTACTTTCTGTATACTTGTAGTACTGTAAGTACTTGCGTATTTAATTTCAATTCTGGTTGTTAGCCTACTAGTTGATATTGTTAGCGGCGCTGGTCAGCGAAATTGAAAGAATAAAAATATAATACGGAAATTGACGATGTAAGGAAATGCTTGCAGCCTTATTTATAAAAAATAACGTAGATTTAAACAGTTGTGTAATGTGACATTTTCATAAAACTTTTGTATTTAAACAGCTTTTTAAATCTATGTATGTACTTAAATTTTTATGAAAGTAGCGATGATCATTTCTCTTTTCTAATTTTGTATAAAACTATTTGCAGTCATTAACCAACAAATAAGTTGACAAAAACAACAACTTAAGCAATGCTGCTATACGAAATATAATTATTAATGGCAAATCAAAAATTTCAAAAGTTATTGGGAAAAGTAAAGTGTGAAAAAAGTTAAAGTAAAGTAACTATGTGTCTTTATTTAATATGTTTCTTATAAATAAAGTACTAAACACCAGTTCGAATTTCTTATTATGTTTTAACTGGTATGTTTCATTAAATTCTATATTATAGACATCACTACAATAGTTAAGAAGTTTTGCCTATTTAATTTCAGAAACTAAACGAATTATGGCTCAGAGAAAGTTTTTCCTTGCAATCTTACCCTTATGTACGAAAAACTACGTTCATCTGAATTATATACATATACTAGCAGACCTGGCGAACTTAGTCCCGCCCAAAATAATTTTTTTGTACCCGGTCAAAAATTTGGTTTAAATTTTTAAACCGCGCTGGGACTACTGCCTTTTTTAAGCTTTTATAGTATACTTTTTAACCCAGTCAATAGTTTTAAGCAATTTTTAATATATTGTGGTTTAAATTTTAGTCCAAAAACCTCGTGGTTTAAAAATCAAACCAAAACGTTTTAATTCTAGTTTCTAGGTTTCATATATAGAAAATTTGGTTTAAAATCTAAACCGAAATAGAAAATGTTTGCACACAGCGAAATGTGGTGTTGATTCAAACTCAACATATGAAAGCACATTTACATGCGTGGCGGTAGCTGAGTGTGCAAAGCTGCTTGATACAATTGGTTGCTACTAAGGCTGTCCGGGTTCAATCCCCATCAGACGGAGCATGAAATTTTATTTCTATTTTTATTCTTAGTTATGAAAATGTTTGGGTTTAAAATTTAAACCGAACTGTTTAAATTCTTAACCCAACATATGTTCCCTCTTTTTTTTTTAATTTAGAAGGTTTGTATTTGAAACTGAATTTATGTAGTTTGGTCATATATGTAGCCCAAAAAGTTTAAAATTAAAACCGAAATTTTTAACCGTGTATTGAAACATTTTGGTCCAACATTTTCACCAAGAGTTCACGTTCATGATTTTTAGTGACGCATTTGTCTTCTAATATTACGGTTTGGTGGTTGTCAGAAGGCATATTTGCCGTCTTAAATAACTTAGCAAAACTGTACATGCATACAAAGATACGTAATAGTTTCAGTGCGTTTGAAAGGCGCCACGTCCCCTTTTCAAATAACCCCAATTTTCTCTAAGAGCATGTGATTGATTTCATATATATCTATACCATTTACGAGTAATTTACCATGGGAGGTGCCACGTCCCTTTTTACAATAGCCCCAATTTTTCTTCATGACCAGTCGCGTTTTACATATCTTGTACATACCAAGTTCCAGTACTCTTCCATGAACACATTCAGAGATATGCACGGGCATCTCTTCTACCTACCAAAAGCCATAATAACGATACAAAATTTATTTTTGGAGAAATATTCTAAATTTTTAAATACATAAGTTATTATTTACACGCTACATAGTGCCGTTGCAACGCAAATTTAAATGCCCTTCGCAAGGCTTTGCATACCTCTACTTACTAATTTCCTTTTTTGTACACGACAGGTGCACTGGTCACGAAACAATATTAGTGCTACTATGGAACGTTTTGAGCCTACGCATAATAGTCAACCATCTTCATCTGCATCATCGTTAGATTACGGATTCGTTGCCAGCGTGGTAACCTCAATAACAGATACACCACATTTACCGCAGAGAAAGATCGTGCCTAGTGCAGCATCATATGAAATTAAGAGCCTTAGAGAAGCTGGACCAATGAATCATGTATATTCATACGCTTACTATGAGCCAGGGGCTGTGAAGTGTCATACGAATATTCCGCAGAATAATGTGCAGACCATAAATTCTGACTCAATGAGCTCCAATGCTATAGAAACTTCCAGAAGTGGACCCCTTGACGTCACCCCTACATTACTGTCCAAAGGTAACCGTTGCAAGTCAAGAAGCGGACAACCTACACTTTCGCCCCCGCGAGTGGGAGATCGTCACACTTATACAACTCGATATGGAACAACGGAAAATTTGTACGAAGAAGTAAACGAGCAAAAGATAAGAAAAGTTTTATCCGATAATCGTATATCTGTATCTCCTACAACTTATGTTAAAGAAGAGCTTCGCCGAGTTCAACACGATCATTTCCGTGTACTGGAAGAGCTAAATTTGTCTCTGGAAGCTTTAATTATGCCTTCTAGCCCACACCATTTGAGCCCTAATGCTAGAATGAAGGATACCGTAGTAAATGTTGCGTCTTCTGAAGCTACTGGAATTCTCTCAACGTCATCGGAGGTTATTTCTTCATCAGTAACTTTACCGAAAAAAACACGGTGGTTTGGTTTGCTTGGTGGCAACTCATCTTACTTATTTCCATCCAGTCAACCTAATGGGTTTATAAATACCAGCCTGGAAAACTTATCAGCTACATTTCATTCAATGGAACTTAAAGACCAATCTAATAATTCAGCCAACCACCCAGAGTTCGATGACGGTGATTTCGATAGTGGATTCAGTGGTAGCGGCAGTAGTAGTGGTGCAAGTTACAATGATAGTGTACGAGATTATAAACCTACTACCGCATCTCTTGAAAATTTTAACATAAACAAAAAAATGTATCCAGGCAGTAGCGACAATAGGGTTACATCGTTTGAGTCTGTTGAAGTTTGCTCAAACAAACAGCCCACCGCTATGCCTTCACTACCAACAGAGCCCTTAACGGAAAGTACTCGTATATTTAAAAAAAGCTTTTGGGCTATGAAACCGTGATGTGATGGGCACCGCTTTGAGGACTTTTCATTTATAGGTAAATACCATTTGATAATATTTATTCTCATATTTTCATTTTACTTCACTTTCCCGCAACTACTAGGCCCAATAAACACAAAGGTTTTTAAATGCATCACATTAAATAGTGTCTGATTAAACACAAACTAAGAATAAACAAGGTAAGCATAAATATTTGGCGCTTACACATCTACGACTGCTCCATTGCTGTTCTTTTTGAATATTTCCAGTGGTCGCCTTTCGCACTCACCTTGCACACACACACAGTTTGTTTCTGCTTTAAGGAAAGACCGTTTTCAATTTTAAAATTTACAAATTTCCGCTCAGTTTATTCATAAGCTTTAAAAGTTAAAAAGTTTAGCTCAATATATTTATTCGGCTTTCAGACAATAAAATAGTTAAGTTTAGATATATATGAACATATAGGCCCCTATTATGAGTTGCATTCGATTTTCGACTGTGGTCGAAAGTGCTGAGCGAACGAATTTTCATTTGGTATTATGGCGCTCATTCGATGAAGAATAGCGCTATTGTGAATTTCGCTCGTTTAGGTTGTTCACAATAGTATATTTTTCACCGCTGAGAAGCTTTGTTAACAAATCGAGCAAACTAAATAGTGTGCTTATACATATTTATGTAAATTTGTTCTAATTAAAATGAAGTAAAAAAGAAAGCAAGTTTATAAAAACGTGGTAAAATGAGTACAACGAGTTCTGGTTCAACGATTCGTCAGTGGATGAGAGCTTAGTAAACTGGCCAGGAGTAGCAAATGTTTAAGAGAGTTTAAGTTTATTAGCCTTTCGAATATATTTTGATATAAAATATATTTAAGAAATTTGTCTACAGATTCATTAAAAAGTTCCGACCATCTAAAGAGGCGTTTGTGAGCCAAATCTATTTAAAATATTTTAAAACTTCGATAGCCAGCGAAGATCGAAAATCGAATGCAGCTCATAATAAGGGCCATAAATATATATACTCGTTCACTCCCTTGCGTCCGGGCTACTGCTAATCGCTGCTGTGGCTTCATCCAGTAGAAGCCTGAACAAGTCCTCAAGGCATGATATCGGTGTCAGAGCCGACATTACAGTCAGTTATCCGTTTCTGCCGTTGGGGCCAGGGGGCATGCCTTCCGTGCTGCCATGATTTCTTCGATCTGGAAGTAGAAGCAAAGGCAGAGAAACGAGCAGTACATACAGTACCCAAATAACACAAACGGCAATAACGCAAAATTTGCTTTAATTTCACTTTTAATTGGGAAATAATACCAAAATCTTGAGTTTTGCTTTATTTCCAACCATATATGTAGTACTTCTATATTGCTAGTAAATTCAAAGTACATTCCCCAACATCAGAGTGTCGATATATTCAAAAAAGAAAGAGAGATCCGATATGGGAATGTACACAAACTGACATTTTTACTTTTCAAAATTCAAGACGGTTTAACAAATTCTTATTGAAAAATAATTCACATGTAATATTAACAAAAAATAAAATATTTGTATATCTATGAGAAACACTGCAGCCGCTGTGGTGGCAGAGGATAAGGTACCAGGTACAAAAAGACTTGGCATCAGTTGGCATTTCCAGCTGGCGTCAATAAGCCCAGAACAGAAACGAATAGCGTGCTTTATTGGATTCGGTCAACTATCATATGCCAGCTTCAGCTTCATGTGTAAATAAGTGACGATTTCTTTTCTACAAAAACTGTTACCTGTTCAATGCCCTCTCCTTAGTATTTGTGCGTAGAGGGGACTGAGAAGGCAATATTTTTCGGTAGACAAGAAAACGCCATTAGTTGGGAAAAACACCTCCTATTTTCCAATTTTTCGAATATCGAAAAAACGAAGAGCTTCGAAAAAAGTCGACATATCGAGCCCTAACCGCAAAAAATTTAGGATTTCTTCTTCAAAACTTACTTCTTGAAGCAGAAATACTCTAGGACCTAGAGTCTAGATGAACAAAAATCTGGCAGAGAGTAAATATTTAGAAAATTAAAGCAAATTTTCGCCGAAATGCCGATTCAGAATGAGAAAATTAAAAACAAAGTTTAATGCTTCGATTCCGAAGCGCCCCGCAAATGAGAAATTGGTCATTTAATTATCTTTTGTGGCGTATGTTTGGACTTTAGGGTGTATGTCGAGAATTTATTTACACTTTTAGCGGTGATAGCAGTAAATACACTTCATATTCGCTGTAAAAAATTTCGCATTATGGTCCGTCCATGCGTTCTTCAAGTTGTCAAGTGAACTCTGCACAGGTGCGCAAAGACAGTCTAAGAGCGTTTATGCATTAAAATTTAATTTTGAACAAAAGTCGTTTGAGTTAACTGCGGTTTGAAGGAAACATGAGACCGTAAAATTTTTATTTGTTTGTTTAATTCTCTGAACCGTAGTTTACAAATATGCACGTATACTTCTACAATCACAAAAATTTTCATAGGCTGTCTTTCTTTGATTTCGAATTGAAAACACATTGTGATCATATTGTACTAGCAATATAGAAGTATTACATATATGATTGCACTTGACTGAGGTCACTTGACTGAGGGTTGAACTCGATGCCATCCCTGAGCAGAAGGATACGTAGCAGATGTAGCCTTATGGACGAGCAAAGTCTGAGATATTTCACCGACCTAAACGGGGTTAGATCGGCGAAACAACAGCCCGTGGTCGAGTAAAACCCGAGCCATTCCGGTACGTAGAATCGGCTGTCGTGGGAATGGCTGGTTTAAACTAAGATTAGCCAATCAAATGTCAGCCAGCAGTTAAGTTTAAACTGCCACTGAAAAACTGTCCCTTAGACTTAAGACCAATGCACAAACCCTTTCTGTTAGTAATGAGAGGATAGTATGAGAACCGGCTATTTATACATGCTTGAGCGAAATATTCATTAGATAAAGAAATATAACCTTAAGCTTAGTATTCAGCTCTTAGGAAAACGGCAAAGAAAAAAATTGTCATTATTTCCTTTTACGAATTACTAAAATTCACACTGCTTGTAACTGAAATACATCTGTTTACTTGCATTTAAATAAATAACATACATACAAACTATCCAATGAACTAAACTTATAACAAAATTTTCTGCTAAAAATATTTCTTTAACCCTTGTGTGTTGCTACTTAGGTACATAACCGATTTTTGTATCGAACTTTTTAAATTAGAAAATTGCCTCAAAACCTCAGCGAAAATATATGTAATTTTCTTATTTTTACTCATATGGCAACACAGTAGAAGTATATGTCCGTATTTCCTTTTCCTAATTAACCGACTTTACAAAAATAAAAGGTTATCAGTTCGTCGGAATATTTTTTATTTATTTTTGTTTATGTATGTTACCGCATAACTTTGGACCACGTTAACCGATTTCTATATTTCTTCTTTTAAAGGAAAGATGTTATAAACTAATTTGGTTTAAGTCCGATCATTGGATCATGAAGAAATTAACAATAATCTTAAATTTGTATATGAGAATTGAAATCGGTTTTGTTTTTTGCTTAAAAATTTCTTGTTATTGAAATTGCTTTAGTCATTGCATGTATCGTCGCTACCATGTCAAACTATAGAATGTGAATATGGGTATTTTTCAGGAGTGCAAAAAAACTGTTTTAAAATATATTGTTGTCATTAGGAACAAGTGTGGGACTCGACACTTTGTTAAAGCCAGTATCCACTGCTTCTAAGAAGTCTGGAAATTTGACGATTTGCCAACTTGCGTATCATTCTAAATGCATGCGCAAGGTATCGTAATTGGAAAATCATTTTTGCACATTCGACAGTTTGACATGCTAGCGACGATGTATGGCGAAAGAACCCTTTCCCAAAAAAACTTTGGAATTCAAAGGAAAGGCCTGAAATGAGCAGTTTGGTATCTACTTTTAGAATACATATCGTTACCCTCATGTCAGAACCATGAATGTACAAATTTATCAGTTTTGAATTATTGGGTTGACTTGATTAACCTTTGGATGTTCTGTGTTATACCAAAAGCCAGAATACCATGCGTACACGAAAAGCACATATTTTACAATTTCAATTGCATAAATGTAGAGTTAAGTCTCGTAAAAAAAACTTTCAAACTTGATTTACCAAAATTTTCATTTTTACACATTTATGCTTCTGGCATAGGGGCGACATATATAAACATCTTTTAGTTTGGTTTAAAGATACGGTTTGTTTAAATTTCGGTGTATTAAATGAGACACAACGATTCATTTGTAAAAGTTCAATAGTTAAAATAACTTTATCTATACTTCTATACTAATTATATAAAGAGAAGTCCCTTTTTTTTGTAACAGGTAATCTCGCGAACGGCTGGTCCGATTTTCATGAAATTTTGTATACAAATAGCTTTCGGTAACCACCATGTTTTAGGCTAAAAAACATTACTTTTTTTTGGGTAGGTGGACCAGGGACCGGTCTATTCGAAAAAATCTTATTATAGTCCGATTTGCTTAAAATTTAGTACGTAAGTAGCTTTTTAGCATATATTAGCATATACGACCCATTTTTTCCGGGATGTGGTCCAGGGACCGATCTATTCGAAAAAATCGAATTTACGGTCCGATTTGCTTAAAATTCGGTGCGCAGGTAGCTTTTTAGCATGTATTAGCACATATGATCCATTTTGTCCGAGAAGTGGACCAGGGACCGATCTATTCCAAAAAATCGTATTTATGGTCCGATTTGCTTAAAATTCGGTACGTAAGTAGTTTTTTAGCATATATTGGGATATATGGTAAATTTTTTCCGAGAAGTGGACCAGGGACTGATCTATTCGAAAAAATCGTATTTACGGTCCGATTTGCTTAAAATTCGGTACGTAGGTAGCTTTTTAGCATATTTTAGCACATATGATCCATTTTGTCCGCTTTGCTTAAAATTCGGTACGTAGGTAGCTTTTTGCCTGGATAAGCTTATAGATTCCTGTTTTCCAATTTTCATGCAATTTCGAATATAAATAGCTTAAGGTAACGACCATATCAAGGGGCGAATTCGTCACTAGGCAAGATTTTTTTGCGCCAATCAGAAACAACGGATACTTTCAAAATATAATTATAATATATAATATATCTCAACTAATATATATTTAGAAAGCCGTTTGTTAGTTTTCGCAAGGCTCGAGAGCGGCTGAACCGATTTTTTTGAAACTGCCACCTGCCGCACGTGTTTCAAGGATGGTTTTAGGCTGAAAAAAATCTATATGTAAAGGGGGCGTGGCACTTCCCATACAAACCGAATTTCTTATGCTACATATCTCTGAAAGTGTGCATGGTAGAGTTTTGGAAATTGGTATGGAGATATACGAAATCAATCGCATACCCTTGGAGAAAAATTTTAGCTATTGTAAAAAGGGGTCTGGCATCTCCCATACAAACCGAACTTTTCATACTGCTTATCTCTGGAAATTTTTTGGTTCAGTTCTAGAGTTTTGTATGGAGATGTACGAAATAAATCGCATACTCTTGGAGAAAAATAGGAACTATTGGAAAAGGGGGCGTGGCATCTTCCATACAAACCGAATTTTTCATACTGCCTATCTTTGGAAGTGTTCATGGTAGAGTTCTGGAACTTGGTATGGAGATATACGAAATCAATCGCATACTCATGAAGAAAGAGGGCAGCTGTTGGAAAGGGGGGCGTGGAACCTCCCATATAAATCGAATTTTTATACTGCATATCTCTGAAAGTATTCATGGTACAGTACCGGAACTTCGTATGGAGATATGTATATAGTTGAAATCAAGCCCATACTCATGGAGAAAATTTGGGCTATTTGAAAAGGGGTGTGAGGCCTACAAACGTACCGACCTTTAGCTATCTTTGAATGAATTTTTTTATTCTTCTGTAGGTGTGTTTGTGAGTGAAATCCTCCTAAATGGTTGTATGGATTTTAACGAAACTTTTTGTGTATTTGAGTGGGTCTCTGGATGGTTTAGTTCACAATTTAATCCGACAGTTGGCGCTGTAGTTGAGTTATTACTAAAAATCTTATTTATGATCCGATTTGGCTAAAGTGGTGCTGAAGTCGAGCTGTTACTAAAAATAGCCAAGTGAGAAAAGGGGCCGTGAATGTCAGATTAAATCGATCTGTTGCACCATTGAGTATATCGAACGCTCCTGCGTTGCAATTGGCCCAATGGATGTGATTTTCCAATATTATTATGCGTTCAAACTTTTAAGGTATTTCGTCTGAAATAAGTATATTGCATTTCTGTAGAACAATGATTCCCACCCATTTTGAAATTGCCACCTACTATACTGTAAAGCTTCTAGGACATTCACTATAGAACCGGGTCATTGTTGCCGCCAGGGAGTAAAGAGGAAAAAATTTATTTCGCTTTGCGAATAACCGTGCTATGAAATGCCGCACAACTGGAGCATTTCAAGAACGGATATAACACTTTCCTTAGGTTATTTAAAGCGGAAAATGACCACCAAACCTTAATCTTAGCAGACAAATGTGCCAATGAAAATCGTAAACGTGAATTGTTGGTGAATGTTGGACCAAAAAGTTTCAATAAAATATATAAAAATCTTGGGCGGGACGAAGTTCGCCGGGTCTGCTAGTTGGTAATATTTCGAGCTTACAAACTGCATGGAATATGTATGTATGTGTATTAACAAGAGTTATTGGAGTTTACGTGTATGCGACGCGCTTGCTTTGGCGGCTGATAGACGAGTGGCTCAGCCTCGCTTCGGTGGTTAGCAACTGAGCCGCTAATCGTTGATTGCTAATGTTGCCATGTTTGGAAAAATCAAAGGATACAATGCCATATGAATGTGGGTAGTTCATGTCTTCAACAGGGATAAAAGCCCAATAATTTTCTGGAAAAGTAAATAAAATAATAATCGAAAAATGGCAACTAAAACAACTGGCAATAAAAACTGCACACTATGAAAAAATCGTAATTTTCTTGTCGAAATCGTCAAGACAGTTAACCCTTAATTAGGCTCATAAAGAAAATCACACAATTAGTCGCATGGGGTCCTCAGTGACCCCAAAAAAAAAAATTTTTGAAAAAAGAGTTTTCAAAATAAAAAAAGCCAAGTGTGTATTATCAAAAATATTAAAGTACTCTATTATCGTTAACTTAAAAAAACAAAAACATATTTTCGACTTCAAGCTTAAAAAAAATAATTAAGAACTTACCTCCCCCAAAAAATGTTACGTTAGTGGTCGCATGCGGTCAGTACTCAAGCGAGTAGCGACACATATGTAAGCGACGATGTTCTAGCCGTGACTAAACAAATAAAACGAAATGTGTATTGTTATAAATATTAAAGATCTTTATTATAGTTAACTTTAAGAAAGAAAAATATAACTCCAAGACTTTTTTTTTCAACTTGAAATGGCCTTGACCCTATGCGCCTAATTAAGGGTTAAAAATCTTCCAAATGACGACAAAATCGTCAACATGACAAAAAAAAACATCCAAAAAAGTTCAGTAACGAAACTATTAATAATAATAATAATAATAGATTGGCGCTTACACAATCAGGGCAATTAAAACTATCACGGAATCCGAATAGCTACGAGCGTAGCGATTACTTTGATACATAGTGATCACTTTTTAGAAGATCTCACGAAAAATCGGACTACGATGGATTCTGTGATAGCCCCAATATGTTAGTGTATGGCCGAACTTCTCTCCCGATTTGTGGCGTACGCCCTTTGTTCACACTATGGGGAGGGACCTACAGTTTTCCGCCGACTCCGAACGGCGATTGTATTTTTATGAGAAGCTGTGCTCTGCGGAGTGGTAGCGCACAGTGCTAGCCATTGCACCATACATATGAAAAATATAAAAACATAAAATAACGGTTGAATTTGGTTGGAAAAAAGAAATCCAATTTTAACGCTTTCTTTTCGGAAGTCGTGAGTTGAATCGAGAGGTTCAGGAAAGGATTTTCGTATGGTCCCTCGGGTCCTGATATCCCGCGCACATTTTTAGTTTATGTACTATTTAAATAATATTTTTCAGAAAAGCATTTAACGATGAATAAATATGGTTTATTTTACTTATCCCCAGTTTCACCAATCAATTTTAAAATTTATCAGATTGTTAAAATTTAAAATGCCAATATTTCCGAACAAAAGTGTGTAATTTTTTTTTTAATTTTAACAGGCTGATAAATTGATTGGTGCAACCGGGCCCCGCCACAAATCGGAGGAGAGCCTCGGCCAAACACTGGCATATGTTTAAGCGCCAATCTATTATTATTATTAAATTAAAATAAACAATCCATATTCTTAGTGTTATATTGATTATGTAGATGAACGGTTTGTAAATATGGTTTCATAATGTATTTTTTCTCTTTTCAGAAATTTTACCCATGGCGTAGGTAATTTGGTGCGATAACTATTAAAATATAAGTAAATAGTTATTAATATATTTATGCAAATAAATATTTACGGAAACTTAGATTTACATATGCATACATACATACTGTCAGCGTCAAAAATATGCATACCCTGACGGTTTGACGACTTTATTTATTTATATTTATCAAACCAAATTTTTCTTAATTTTTTATAAAAATATAGTTCATTCAAAAACAAAAACCACATAAACTATATTTCTTATTTCATACAGAACTCGGGGAAATGCAAGAAATGCCAAGAAATTTAAAATTTTTCAATTCGGTTTCTTAGAAAAATTTTGAATTTTGTTGCCCATTAAATTTTCGTGTAATAAAATGCAAGTTTCAGGTCGGTAAAAATAACCGTTAATTTTTAAGAATTTTTTGCCTAGAAATCGAATTAAAAAATTTAAAATTTCTTATTTTTTCGGGAAAATCCCGATTTCTGTACGAAAAAAAATTATTCTTTTGGTTTTTGATGTTGCATAATATATATTATATATATACATTAAGAAAAATTTGGTATGAAAAATATAAATTAATAAAATCTTCAAGACGTCAGAGTATGCATATTTTCGACGCTTACTGTATGTACATCCATACTCTGATAGCAAAAAATTTTAGCTTCGGTGTAAATCCGGTCCTTGATATCCCCAATAGTATAAGTAAATGTACACTGGCAATCAAAAGAAGTGAGTGCATGGAAATTTTTGTTTAATATTTGCAAAGTTTTTCAAGTTAAAATTTATATTTATATTATTACTAGCCAATGTCCGCTTGCTTCGCGGCGCCTAATAAGAACTTTTGCGTGGGCCAATGCAAAAATAGCATTTAGAAGAAAAAACGGTATGTAAAGTGAAAAAAATTTTAACGACTAAAGAGCAGAATCCTCCTCATGCATAGGCCAAAAATAGAAGCGCCTTGCTGACATATGTAATACTAATCCCTTTCGATGTCATGAGCTTTCCCGATAGTCTTATTTCCACCTGTGAAATCTCTGCCAAGCGTGCATAATCTCCTTTGATCTTGCAAATACAACATTGGTCCGATGCGGAAGCCAATAAAAGTCCTTATATGGAAGCCTAAGAGAATAGATGAGCGTACATTGGCAAAATGAGTCGTGTGATCTCTTGAGTATCGTTCAAATGAAGCCGTTGACATACCAACCGTGTTCGTTCTTGGACGGATGTGGTCGAATCTTTCCTTGTCAATTCGCCAATTTTACAATTCGTCTTAATATTTATCAACTGGTTTCTTTGAGTCTTACTGCTGCAATAACGGCCACACCGAGCAATTTCGTTAATCGGAGGTAAATGCAAGATCGCATTAAGGGTGTATGAGGGCGTCAGACAAAGGTGCGTTTACACAATTTCATGTAGCCATCTGAAAAGTAAATTCATATAAAATAAACATAAGGCCAAAGCAGGCCAAACTCATGGGGTTTCTATACATTACGGCTGCAGCGCCATCTTTGGGTCTCTTTTCTGCAAAACCATTGCTTATCATGAAAGGATTACGTATTATAAATTTCAACCAGGTTGTTTTAAAAATAAAGATTTTCTAAATATCGCGCTTCCAGCGCCACCCAGCAGGTCAATTCCTGCAAACGAAGTCATCATACAGGAGGCTCACATTGCGAATGTGAACGAAATCTGTCACTAAATTATAAATAACTCAACTCCAGTGCCACCAAGCGAGTATTCTAGTAGTTAGTCTATAATACTGTGAAAGGTACAACCTCCGACCATTTGACTGAACTCTACCCAGTGGTTTTTGAGTTCAGTCCGAACAACAAAAACAGCTACCATTTTATGTATATAGATATGTTTGTATGTAGATAGGATAGTCTATAACGAAACTCATAAGAATTAAAATTTCATACTTTGTGCAACATTTGAAAAAATCTTCAAAATTTTCACAAAAAATTTTACTTTACCCCTTCCCAAAAATTAAAAAGAAAGTAACAATCGCTCAATTCGATTAAGAAATCTAGGAGAAAATGGTTCCCAGTCGAATGATGGTTACCTATCTACGTGTATGTACATATATAGGAGCAGACATTCCAATAACTACCACTTTTAGACGTAACTTGCTGTCCCCAATAGATCGGTGGCGATCATTCGCTTGTGAAGACCGCTCATCGAAAGGATGAACTGCTAAATAGTTAGCTTCAGAGCCTTTTTAACTTTACAATTTTATGAAGTTGTGTTTTTCTATTATATATATGCTCAGAACAACGTGGAGTAAGCTATTTTTGCGAATACGGTAATTTTCGTTGTGTCGTAAGCACTTTTTGAAATGAAATCTTTTGTGATGATATGCCCAAGTACCAAATTTTCTCTGCGATGAGCATTTCGCTTGCGATGAAACTCACAGCTCTTCTGCGATGGCTGTACGCTAATGAAGACAGCAAGTAGTTCGTTATTGACAACATATATAGCTGTGTCAAATTTCAGGACGTTAGCTTTAACAGTTCCAGGGATAAGCGTTATGAAAAGTTCAGTTTGTATGGGAGGTACCACGCCCCCTTTTCCAATACCTGCCACTCTCCGTCATAAGAACGGTATTAATAACATATATAGCTGTATCAAATTTCTGGACGTTGGCTTAAGCGGTTCCAGCCATAAGCGATATGAGAATTTCAGTTTATATGGGAGTTGCCACGCCCCCTTTTCCTATTCCTGCCAATTTTCGCCACAAGTTCGGTATTGATAACATATCGTCGTTTAAAGTACAAAACCGCGTATCGTCATTCTGCAAAACCGCGTAACTAATATTGACTGCCAAAACTTGAATTTGCTCACACAAACTCTTGGCTTAATCCTTATCCATTCGTCCTGAAATATACCATCCAGAAATCCGATTGCTTTTTAAAAAAGAGAACCATTGTGAAATATAAATGTTTTAACTCTCTAGAAAATAATTAATGCAGCCTCACATACGCGGTTTTGCATTTTGTAGATACGCGGTTTTGTACTTTAAACGACGATATGTAGCTGTGTCAAATTTCAGGACGTTGGCGTAAGCGGTTCCAGAGATAAGCGATAAGAGATTTTCAGTATGTACGGGAGGTGCCACGCCCCCTTTTCCAATAGCTTCCAGTTTTCGCCGTAAGTAAGGTATTTACAATTTATGCATCCGTGCTAAGTTTCAGTTCCCCAGCGTAGTTGGTTTAAGAGATGTATTGGTGCCCTCAAAAAGGGGGTTTCAACATTTTATTGTGACCTATGTATATGTGTAGATATCCATCATTCTCCCATTGTATAAGAACGTTAGGAATATTCCTACCCCATCGCACCCTATCGTGTAATTTTTTAGTCAAAATATTCCTTTTCAATTTCATATCTGCAACCAAATGCAGTTTTTAGGAATATCCCGACCCTAGCGCCACCTAGCGGTTAAAGTTTTCGTCAGAATATTTCCCTTCAAGGTGCTGACATATGCTCCAAATATGAACGAAATCGGTCCAGCCGTTTGGTAGTTTGTGACATACAATATACGGAAAACTCTATGAAATTGTGAAATCGAGACGTCTCAGCTTTCTTAATTTTTTTGGCAACAGCAACAAAAAGTTTTGTATTTTTTTAATCGATAAACCTTCCACACAGAAAATAGTACTTTTTACTTTTGGTCAGGCCTCGCGGTCATACGAAAGACATTTCATTTTTATATATATAGATTTATATTTATTTTTTTAAGTTCATGCTTTAGTCGAAACCACATAAGTCAACTTTTCAAACTTTATACAGAATTAGAAAAATTCAACCAGTTTCCGTCGCACTTTTTAATCAGAACTTTTAGAAAAATTTTGAGTACGCGGACAGATCGGTCATTAATTCTAGTAAAAGAAGTGCATTTTTTAAGCGGCTAAAAAATCGTGTTTATTTTTAATAATTTTCTTCCTACGGCGGTTTATTTATAAAATATAGCATTATTTCTTTTAGTTGTGTTTGCAATGGTCTTTCGCATTCTATTATACGAGAAATTCGCTTTTATATGGTAAAAAGTTCAAAAAGCCGTTAGCAATAAAAAATCATTAGAAATCAACGCGATTTTTCAGTCGTTTAAAACTTGCACTTGTTTCACTAGAATTAAAAAAAAAACGATCTATCTGCGTACCAGTGATGGAAAAGTAGGTGCAATTGTACTCTTTTCAATCCTTTTATAATTTGAAAGTACATTCGGTACATAAAGATGATTTTTGGTACATTTGCAACTTCGCTAAATAAATTTTCTAGGATTTTTTTACCCTTATAGTTATACCAACCAAATGCACACTTATCCATCTGGGCTTCTCGCGAATACACTCGACAATATCCCTTCTTTCAAATGAGCAGACAAGACTGAGCAGAGATTTGTTAAGGTTGATTTATGTTCATTTAGAAGCCCCTGCTAAGCGTAAATAAGCACCTGTGGACAGGAGTTAAGCTTCCTTAGATCCCTCACTGGCAGAAAGCTGGCTTCTCAGTAAACTAACTTCCTTAAATCTTCAAATTGCTGTCAACAGTGCTTTGTTGCTAGAAGGTAATTTGACTTCATCGTTCTCCGCTAAATCAACCTCTTCTGACACTTTCTTAAGGGCCTCCGAGTGTATTTCTGCCATAGAAAACAGCTTCTCATAAAAATACAATCGCCGTTCGGAGAAAACACATTTTCAAACATCGATTGATTTACATAAGTTATGTTCATACATAGTCGACCTATGAGAAACTGAATCACATTTTGGCGACATATGAATACGCCAAAGGTTTGGGTGTTTCAGAAGCATGCTCAAAAGAACTCCCAGTGAGTACTGGCGAAATGGTGCAGCACCTAGACAGGCTTTGACGCAATAAAATTGTGTAAAACTTTGTCTGGCCTCGAAAAGTTCTTCCACTTCGAATAGAGGTCAAAGTATTACAAACCATGAAACCAAAATTAGGCATAAGGCAATTAGGATTTCCGTCGTACTTTCGTACATTCAAACAGATTTGTCGTAAAATGTGTAACAAAATGTATGTACATAAATTTTTTTTAAGTACATTCGTCTGCTGTTAGGTAAAACTTTGTGCTCAAATTAAGTATACTTTGAAAATTTGA